AACCCAGCTTAGTTAATACTCAGGCTGCTTTGTTTTTATCTAGATGGCGACAATTTTTCCAACAGAGCAATAACGACAGCGAGATCTTATAATGAAAATATTATATGTTTATTGTAAATGGCTCTGTGCGGTAAACGAAAAATCTTTTAAGGGAGAGATAATACAAATGTTACGAAAAGCTAACATAGAAATAATATCCACAGTTTACAAAAGTTTGAATAAGGGAAGAAAGTGATCATTTAGGCAATTATTTACAAACTAAAAATACCTCTCTCTCCCATTACGTCTTGTTTAGATTAATTTGCGTACTAAGGATATCAGAATACTTATTACTTAACAGCACACCAGCAATTAACCTGGTTTTACTTATAGAACTAAATCAAGTTGTTTAGAGGTATCGAGAACCCCGTCAGTTATTTGCTGGTGATCCTCTGCGCACATTCTTTTCAAAACGAGGAAAGAACTTGTCTTGGTCTCCAAATATATTTTCATTTTTCCTTAGTAACTCTCCCTCGATATCTATCTGGCACTGGTGGGTGTTTACTCTGGGGAGCTCGTCCCATTTTCCCACGTAAACCGCGTTCAACGGCTTTTCCTCACCAAATGCTTCCCTGTCGCTCAACTATAATCACAGCCTTCGCTATCCATGATTAGGAATGTCATCACTTCCTCAGCAAGCACCTCCAAAATGTATCTGTGGAAAGAAAACTCATATATAGTATCGGTTTAACCAAAAGTTCATTTCTCCAGGTGTGGCGCACACATATCCCTCTCCCTGTTGTATTTTTTTTTCTGCAAGAGTTCTGCATACCCCAACATTGCATGGATGGAAACACTTTTCATGATAGAGTGACTACTACTCTCGTACTCTTTCTGGCATCCTATTTAGCACGCATGGAAAGTCTGTATGTATATGTTAACGTATTGTCACGTGATATTTGCTTCTCGCATTCTAGTCGGCACGCATAATAAACTTTGCTTGTAACATTTTATTAGGTAACTACTTTCTTATTCTCTGTGGCACTCTGTTCGGCATGGAGAGAAAATATGCAAGTCTTTTCTAGTAGGAATGACTACTAATTTCTTATTCTTTCTGACACTCTATTCGACATGGAGAGAAAATAAGCATATAAAATCTTTGCAGGTGAAAATGACTACAACCATTTTTTCTTTCTTTCTTGCACCCTATTTTGCACGCACAGAAAACCTGCATATAATCTCCTCTTCTACTAATATTTATATTATGAAGACTTGTCCCAAGTCTTGCAATTCATCTCTGTTTGGCACTCACAAAAAGCCTATATGTAATTTTGCTTTTCAAATAAGAATGACTACTACTCTCTTTTCTTTCTCGCACTCTATTCGACACGGGTAGCAAACCTGCATGTGAACATCTTTTCCTGTAGAATTATGCCACGTAAAATTTTCCTCAATTCTCGTACTCGCACAGAAATTCTGCAGATAACATCTTTGTAATTTGGAATGACTATTACTGTCTTCTTCTTTCTCGTACTCTATTCGGCACGGAGAGAAAATTTGCAGGTAAAGACCTTTTCCTGTTAACATTATGTAACGTAATACTTGCTTTAAGTTTAGCACTACATCTCGCAGCACTCTTTTTGGCACGCGCAGAAAACTTGCAAGTAAACTCTCTTCAAGGTTAGAATAAACACCAACGTTATATTCTTTCTTGCACTCCATTTGGCACAGACCGAAATGTTGAAGATTTTCTCTTCAATTAACATTCTCTTTGCGAAGAACCAATACTATCATGGTTGCACCTGACTCCACATGGGGATATTCGTACTCTTCTTAAAAAATCTGCTACGAGTTGTACGTCTGCTTACCTGGAAGCTTCGATGCTTGACATGACGTGACACGTTTGGAGTTTACTTTTCAAATGATTTCTTTCAGACACTCTTATCTTATTTAGTTTTAGAGTAAGATTTTGTCGTCTTTATATAGCCGGGAAATAGCGTAGGATTTTGCAACTTTAGTAAAAAGTTACGGAAAGTGCTCATATGCACTGTTTCATAATTCAGTACGTAGATATTTTCGGCGTAATCGCTTTTGGTTAAACGGAGTATAGATAACCGTGTGATTACATAGTAAAGATAGGTATTTTGCGTTCATTTCATCTTGCCTTTATTCTGATCAATTTCACAACCTGGCATTTCCTAAGTATTTTTTTTAACGTGACTGAGGTAATTCGAAAGTTCCCAAATTTATTTTAGCCGAAACCATTTAGATTTGGGTAACAAGGAGTAAAAAAAAATCCACTCAAACAAAACGATAACTACTGTCTCAAAAAGTGAGGGACGGGGGGACGAAAAACAGCTAAGTTTAATTTAAGGAAGACGGATTTCTGCTCAATTATCGTATTCAACCACTGGGTGCAATGATGCTCCAGCCGCAATCTGTGTTTAGGTCAAAAGTAACACTTGTTGATATGGCTGAAGGGTGATCTTGCATGACAAACATTGGGTAACTTTCTAAACATAACTAATGCGTTGTGCTCTTTTCGGCATGGTGCTAGATATATATATGTTATTTGCCGGCTGGGAGGTCCGTATGGTGAAAAACTGTGACCGAGGTCTTGAAAATACTGCCCGAGGCCGTAGGCCGAGGGCAGCATTTTCAAGACCGAGGTCACAGTTTTTCACCATACGGACCGACCCTTAGCCGGTAAATAACATATTTATTGTTTTTAAACTTGACGAAATTCTCTCCGAAAGAACCCGAATGATTTAGGGCTGTTAATACGGCAAGATCTTCCATAAACTGAACAATTTTTGAGCGAGTAAATGGTAGTTAAAATAGAGGTGAAGCAAATTAAAGAGAGATGCCTCAGCGAAACATTTTCATTTCCGTAACGATAAAGGTGATTTAAAAGGCTTCCAAACAAACTTTGAAACATTATTTTTACAAGTATCTGTCACAATCTGACACCTGTCAATTAGAGAGCGCGTAAGAAAAAAAAAAGCATAAGAGCATTTGAAAAACAACGGAACTAGTTTGGCAAGGACTGTCACGACAATGTTTTCTTCAAAATCAGTCAATAATCTAACGGAAAGTATTATTCACTCTCATCGACGATTCATTCATGTACGAAGATTTACCTCTGTTCATTAAGTAAACGGCGAGGAAAGTAATTGTGAGTAAATTCAACTTTTTTATTTTGAAGTTGTGAGAGTTCGCTCGTTTGTTTGCTGCAATGGCGTGTGTAAATCTGGTCTTTCCTTCACAAAAACTAAATTCGAACGGCACACTCCAACGAGACACAAGGGAATTTAATGCGGCCTTTTCTCAAAAAATTCCTTCAGTTTCTGTTGTGTAATTTACGGTACAAATGTCCAAATTGAACGGAATTGGAAAGACTCACCGGGAGCCTATATTTGTTGTAGAACTTAAATTAAAACTTTGCTCGCTCTTTCTCTACTAACAATTTTCTCGAGAAAATTCAGATATTAAATTAAAGTTCCATCGTTCAGTTTAACTGTAATCAAATACCTCACGTTTTAACTTTCTGGGTACTTTTTGTGAACGATTAAAATTAATTGCAGATGGTTTTTAGGCCGCTTGTCAACCAACGTAATGACACTATTGTTTATACAAATTCATTCTGAAACCAATATTTTTCTGTCAACCAAAGTGATTTGAGAGAGAGAAAAGAGAGGATTCATAAGTTATTTATCGGCTTGAGGTAGTGACCGACTTGTTTGCTTTAAAATACTGCCCAGCCGGAAAACGAGGTATATTTATGAAAAATGACAACGAAAGTTGGGATGTACTCGGCGATTCACGAAAGCGTTACCGTGGCCCGTGGGCAGAGATTGGAAAATACTGACCGGGTAAAGAACCAATCAGATTGCAGGATTCGTTACCGTGCCCTCTAAAAAAACAATAAACTATTTTACTGCCACCTGTGCCGTTTCTAGCGTTTCGAACGTTCGTTATTCATTGGAGCAAATTTGGGGCGTGTGGTTTGCGTGTGTGAGTATGTTTGTTTGTTTTGTTTTTTTCATTCATCTGAGAAACGACAAAACCTGCATGTACTATACCTTTGGAGGCCGATCATGATTACACTCGCCTTTAAGGAGGAACAGAAATCTGCTTATTGTTTACCTCAAGGTAAACAAGACCGTTTAAAGTCTTTCCTTTCAGGCAGCTTTCTGCCCATAAATTACGGCCTTGCCTCTGCACTTATCAGTTGCGCACAGGTTCGTTGTAACTTAGTATTGTACACCTCTTGCCTCTTTTCTGATCTAAGAGAATCTAAAGAATTGTATAGACGTTGTTCAATTGAATTGAAAACCTGAACATATCCATCAGACCTCGTGAGGTGATCTTCCAATGAAACAACCGAAAAAAAAAATTACATGGGTTATTATCACGGGTTATTATCACAGGTTCCATCTACCGTAAACCTCATCAAGTGTTTACTTAATACCTCTCATTACTGCTCATTGATCGCAAGTTATTAATAACCTTCTTTCAGTTTACACTCTCTTGCCTCCTTGTAACATCATCGGCGCAGTGTCTTAAAAGATGTCTGGATACGAAAGTATGGCGAACCGCACACGATTAGTAATTTAAGGACACATCATCAATGTTTTTTTTTCCTGTTTCCTGTGTAGGAAATACTGATCCTTTCACTAAGGCCCTAAGAAGTCAGAAGTTCGTCAAAACATGCCCAATAACACCACCTCATTGGTCAGATTTTATGAGTGATCTTAAGATTCTCTTCCGCTTGAGGTGGCTTGAGGTGGTTTCGCTTTTAACCTTTCCCTCTATCGTAATTTTTCTCTATCCCCGAATCTTGCCATGGATATCAAAACCTTACTAAACAATCTTCATGAAGAGGTCTCCTGTTCTGTGTGTATGAACACATTCACTGATCCGAAAACGCTGCCATGTTTACATGTCTTTTGCCTGCATTGCTTGTACGGGATTCTTCAAACGAGTGGCCGCCACGATATCATCGTATGCCCTGAATGTCGAAAAGAGATTAAATTTCCTATAAGTGGCAATCTTGAGGATCTTCCAACTAACTTTCGCATCAACAATCTCCTTGACGCGTTGGCCATCAAAGAGTGCAGTGCTAATGGAGTTAACTGTGGAAATTGCGATGTGAAGAGCTCCAAAAGCTTTTACTGCTTCCAATGTTGTATATTCTGGTGCGAGGCTTGCGTCATTGGCCACAATGTGATAATATCGAATAAAGAACACCGTGTATTAGCGCTCAAAGACTTTAAAGAACAAGATTTTCAACATTTTTGGAGGCGACCGGAACATTGTCGCAACCGTGGCCTCGAGCGTGAGGAATTGAAGTATTTCTGCAAAGATTGCTCTGTAGCAATTTGCTATTTCTGTGTTAACATTACTCATGTCCATCACTTCATTATGCTTTTGGAAGAAGCTGCAAATATACAAGGTACGGTCTGCGATCGAAAATCGCGGTAATTAGATAAAAACGAAATATGTGACAACCACAGTCTATCGACTGTACGATTTTACGCCACTATCTGCGTCGGTGTACATACTGAAAGATTTTAAGCCGTTTACTGACGGCGTAAAATCTCTCAGTCTGTATATATATCGACTAGAAATATCACGCCGTTAGTTACTGGCGTAAAATATTTAAGTATATATTTTACCGACTGAATGAAAAGGCAACCTTTTGTTGTTTATTGCTACTTATCATCCAATGGAAAACCGTACCCAGCAAAGTTTTTTTGACTTTCATGTAATGTCCACCCTGAAAGAAAATTTTATATGCGTTTATTTGCATAATAGGTCATAAATGAGATGACATAAAAAAATATTCACATATGTCGGTGTCTTGCAAGCTGTATCAGGGGAAAATTCTCCAGCGATCAAAGCGAGTCATATAGGCCAAATGTCGTCAAATGTCTTTGTTGATCAGCCTCATTATTATAGGTGTCGCAACGAAAAATCAGTCCACACAAGACCTTGTTTCTGTAATTGACAATCACATAGCCGCATCATACCGGTTTACAAATCTATCAGAGAATGTATGTACAACGTTTCAACCTTTCCGTAGAGGTTTAAAGAAGATTTCGACTTCTTGAAGAAATCTGAATAGTTTTATGATGTGGTAAACCAGTCGGACAGTAACATACAATAATGCTCTACCGGAGCTTAAAATGAACGCTCAAAATGCAAACGGTTCTACAGTTCCTGCAGTTCCTGTGTCGTGATATGAATCCTTCATTGAAGCCAGCTTTCATCTTGCTCAGGACGATAGCTACTTCTGAAGAAGGGCGAAAATTAAACGCTTTAGGGAGTTTAAATCAATTAAATTATACGTTTCGCTCTTCAATGAAATCTCCAAACAGCATGATCCTGGTAATTTCTGAATTCCTAAATGCATGTCAATACATATTCGAAACTTCAATATTGGTCTTATTGATATTATGATATATTATATGATATTGATATTGATATCATATGATATCCAATATGATCATATTGGACAGTGGAATGAGAAGGTCTCCATAGTGAGATATAAGAAGCGACGGTCAAAGTGTGATGACCAGGTTATTGACGACTTAGTAAAAACTAGCCTGTAATTAGGGCCGGGTCGCATTACAAGGGGTATCGAATGGTCCTTGCGAGCAGTGTGTTTATTTTTGCGAGCACGAGCAGTTGTCAATTTTTCTTGCGAGCAGCGAGCACTTTAGAAAATACAGATGGCGAGCACCGAGCACTTTAGAAAAATACAGATGGCGAGCACCGAGCACTTCGAGTACTTCGTAAATTTTCCGTTAGCCGAAATCTCTTTTCTATTATTAGGAAGTAATAACTAATAATCTGGCTGACACCTCCAAAAACAGATCGGTTTCAGTCACGTGATCTCATTTTAATTGGCCACCATATTGGTGCACATCCGGCTTGCCTGTAAACATATGACACTAGTTGTGACTGTGATAAAAATGGTTTTATGCGCGATTTTTGGCTGTGGGACCCGAAGTGGTCGTGATAAAGGAATTAATATGGCAAGGATACCTTCGATTATTACCAGTCAAGGAGAAGAAGTAGGGAAACTTTCCGAGGAGAGGCGAAACAAATGGATTTCTGCGATAAGTAGGGAAAACCTTACAGGCAACACGAGTCCATGGTAAACATTTATCTCAGGAAAGGCGGCTAAACTGTGGGATCGTTACGATCCAGATCGGGTTCCGACCCAAAATCTAGGTCATCAGAAATGTGGTTCTGTCGAAAAGCTTCAAGCCGATCTTGAAGTTGCCACCAAGCGAGACGAGAGAGCCAGAGATCGTGAGCTGAAACGTGTCGCAGGAGAACGTGAAAGGTAGCCTCGGGAAGAAATCGAGTCCAAGAAACAAAAACTTGATGAACCAGGAGAAAAGGTTAGCAACATTTCCTTCGATGTCGAATCAGCAGTGGAAGTGGAAACTGAGAGTGAAACGGGAACAGCGACTCAAACAGAAGAGTTTGACTACCTATTTCACACCTTAGCTGTGAAACAGCCATGCGATGAAGCTTATTTTGCCCATGACAATGACAAGGTTCGGTTTTACACTGGATTGCTTACCTATGATGTGCTACAAAGAATGTAAACAAATGTTTCGACATTTTTCATTAGGAAGTCTCCAACTTTATTTTAAGAATTTATTTCCACGCTGATGAAACTTAAGTTAAACATGCCAATGCAGGATCTTGCCTACCGCTTTGGAATTTCACTATAAACTGTTTCGAGAATATTTTCGGCTTGGATGGTTGTTTTTTCTGTTTGTTTAGCACTTTTAATAAGGTGGTCAGAACGTGAGGATATGTGAGAACCATGCCTCAATGTTTCCAGGCTGTTTTTGGCAACAAAACTACAGTAATCAAGGCTGTGCTCTAGGAAAATTTTCAGGGCGCCCTTCGGGCGCCTAACCATGACAAGTAGGTCGCCCAGCCTTCCAGGTTGGTCGCCCGAATTGATTAATTAATTAATTAATAATTAATTGATTAATTATTAATTATTCTGGCCGAGGAAACCATTGCTGAATGACAATCTTTACTAATCCGTGACGTTTTGAAAGAGTAGCGTTGTATACTTCTTACAGTTCCAGAGAATCCGCAGAATTGCCAAACAGTTTCATCTTTAATCTCTCTCGTTCAATATTCACTTCACCGGGCACGGGCGGCGAAGCGAGTTACTATATTTAGCAGTCACGTACTCTATTTTGGCGAACTTGTGATATGTTAAAACCGCTAAGAAAATTTCTTCGAAGCTAATTAAATAAACACAAATTTGCATAAAGGACGGTTTGGTTTTATTAATCACGCGCTCCACTATTGAAACTGTTGAAAAACAAAAATTAAATATAAGCATCAACCACTTCAATAGAAAATTAGATCTTCAACACATGCTTGTGCAAAAATCGTGCAGTTTCTCACGGGCAAGGAAAAAATAATTTTTCGTGCTAAACCATGTGAAACAATATTACATAACACACGCGACAACTTTGAGCGTGAACAATTCTTGTTGTTGTCCTGCCGAATATTTTTTAGTTCTGCAAATGTCATCAAATTAGCAAGTAAAATTATAAAATGTTAGTTACAATCAGTTGCTCGCTTTATCGCGTCGTTCAATGGACAAGAAACCTGGGCCATGTACTATATTAATAAACCAGAAGAGAATCCACCGAAGCGAAACAAGACCATCACCTCACTTAATATTTAACCTAAATGTAAAGATCACACAGGCTATTGATTGCACTGCGCTTTCAGCGCTTTTGCTTTTCGGGCTAACGGGAGCCGGGGAGCACGATGGAGTTTCTTTTTGTTTCGTTCCGTTCCGTATCGTTTCTATACGTTTGCTGGTTTCGTTTCGGGTTTTCACACAAGCCGAAATCTATGCGCCCGGACGGGCGACCGCTTTTCTTTTTCAGTCGCCCGAGACCAAATGTTTGTCGCCTGAGGCGACCGGGCGCCGCTAGAGCACAGCCTTGGTAATTATCGACTGCTTTGAGGTGTTTATCTCTAGACCTTCAAATCTCATGGCCCAGGCACAAACTTTCTCCACCTACAAGAATCACAATACGGTCAAAATTTTCCTTAGTAATTATTTAATTATTGTTGAGGGCGGTTATGTAAACTACTGGGCTACCAGTAATAATGTATTTCACCCTTGATAAATAAAATATTTGTATTTGTATTATTGTCACTACAAACCACTAATGAGTAGGAGATGACAGAGATTCCTGATGAAGTAACATATTTTTAATAGAGAGAATGACATGGTACTTAACATTTACTTATATTCTGACGTTTTTGTATGTAAGTCTGATAAGGCAGACTGTACGATTGCAAAGGATTTTACTGTACAGTCCATGTCCTAAAAAATTTAGTATTTTTGTCAAACTACTTTGACCATGCCATGATCACGTCCCAACCATGCAACATGATTTTTTTTTCATCTAATCATGACTTTGTTCTGTAAAAGAAGTTCAAGTGGTAGGGAAAGGAGTCATAACTCCTCCTCTAAGACAGTGCAGTAAATGTGGATGCTTCTGACTGAATGCAGGATTTTGTCCATAAACCAAACTTGTCGCAAATGCTATTGAAAACACACCACAGTCAGAACCATTTGCTTGTTGTTGCACTGGAACACAGTGAATTCCCTTAAAGGCTGGTCCAGTCAAATCAAAAGCTAGTTCCCTCAACTCTTGAGTCACAGGGGATGAGAGGCTATCATAGACATCAACATAACCAGGAGGACTATTTATGTTACTAAGACATACCCAGTGACTGTTATTAATGTGGACTATTTGAATAAGTGGTCCAGTCATAATATTAAATTGTCAAACTGAGCCAAGAGTAGGCCTCTGAAATCCTTGTATGCCTTTACTGATTCCCCTCAGTATTATGTGCGCCTCATGTATGATTACACAGTCCAGCCATCCATTTGGGGAAGCAATTAGGCCATGTTCATGACGTCCCAGTCTTCCTTCTGGCTCATGCTTGTCACGAGGAGGCCTGTTTGTAATAACAGTTTTCAGAATTGTTACTTCAGTGCCAGAACTGGCTGTGGGTTTAGTGACTGTTTTGTTGGTGTTTGTTGTGACATGTGTGACTGTTGGCCTGGTGTTGGTTGAGATGTGTGTGGTTGTTTGCTTCGTGTGTGTTGTGTTATGTGTGACTGTTTGCTTAGAGTGTGATGTGACATGTGTGACTGTTTGATTGGTGTTTGTGGTGACGTGTGAGGTTTGGCCTGGTGTTTGTTGAGGTTTGTGTGACTGTTTGCTTGGTGTGTGTTAAGACATGTGAGTTTTGGCTTGGAATTTGCTGAGTTTTGTTTAGAGCCTCTTTTCTTAAATTCTGGCAAAGCTCTACATCTGTGGCATTACCAGGTCCTGGGAACAGTGTTGATACCCAAACAAGACAAGTGGAATTGCTGAATAG